ACTTTTAAAAACCGTTTCAGGTCCTTGTTCCATTAGTTGCGTACTTCACTACGAAGTTGTAAACGTCTATTTCCCTGTATTATATAAAGATGGGGAACTCGTTTATGTACGGTAATACTCAGTTCTCTTCCAAACTGACTTTTCCTTTGTCATTTTTCCAAGCGCTAGTCTCGCGTCATTATCATGACAATTTATCCTTCATTTTCCATGTTTAACAACTGTACAAATAAACATTTTAACATTCTACACCGAAGGCGAAGGGTATTAAGAAGACACAAAGCGGTACTTTTCGTTGATATATTCTTCTTCTGCACATGTTTTCCTCTCTATCTCATCCGTCCTCCATATTATTCTTATAGATTTTACAAACTCCTCGAGCAAGATACGACATTGTCTCAAAACCATAGCACCAAATTATAGGACGTAGCAGTGAAATATTTCAATTCGCTGTTCCTCCTAGCGTAGTAAAACTCAGTAAAATGCAAAGCAGTCTACTGGCACAGCATAATTAGTGCGGAAAGTCTTACTTTTGGGATGATATTTTAAAACAAACTTCCGGATTACAAAGCACAACTGCTAATTATTATACCATGAAGTCTGTGTGATATTTTTTTTCATATTAATTGGCCTAAAAAATTCCTTAGACACTTAACATTGAATTAAATTATTGTACAGCAGATCTACGAGTAGTTGAATCCTAACTGAATGAAATTTTTTTTTTTGGAAAAGTCAAATTCGTGATTTCCTACCATTATCGAACAAAATAAACTAGGTAATATTAGATGTAGTCTAAATCACATCAGCTATTTCTCACCTCAATTTCACTGTCTCTGCTGAGAAGCATCTCTTTCTGTAACCATAGCTACCAACAAAGTCGACACATTGAGCTGCAGCTCGTTCCAGTGATTATCGACTGTAATAAGAAATTAGATTTAATTTACAAGGATTCAATTCCTATCTGTTCAGCAAAGGGGTACTAAGAAAGAGCTCGGAGTAAGGACTTTTCACACCTTGACAAATGTTGTCCGGCGATCAAGTCATGGTGGTGGATTACATAATTTCATAAGCCAAAGTCTCACGTGGGAAGCAAAATAACCTTTGCTGAAACGACTGGACTATATTTCAGGCTCTCGGTTTGGCTGCATTGACATCTCCACTGTGGAAATTAACACTTATTCTATCTTCCCTCTAAAACTGTGGCTGTGACACTGCCTGATATACAGTGCTATCTAAAGGACTGTTTATAAATCAGTGGCACAGGTAAACTGTGAGTTCGAAATTTCCCTTCAGGAAAGATTTAATTTCAGGAGCATGAGAGACTGAGGTCAAATGGACAGAAGAGAAGGGGGCTTTGATATGCAGATAGCTGGTAATTACAATTAAACTACGATATCCAGGATAGTGGAAGCATCCCATAATTGGTTCAGTGTCCATAAAAATGTCAATAGCTGATGTGTTTACTGTCTCCATAACCAGAATGACTAACCGCCCGCTTTCATCCGTATCCGTCCAGTTACAGAGAGCGCCACATGCAGACCTCTGACTGCTGTAACGACAACGCCTCTCCACTTTGAATTACAACTACTCGGCTACTTTTTATTCGACCATTTAAAGAACGATGGTATGCATATTAACCACCTGCTTTAACATTTAATAACTCTACATTTTACCCACATCATGTTTATGGATTTTGTATCATTCACAAAATAAAAAAGGATTGTCTTCCTAAGCAGGGTTCACCAGATGATCTTTGTAATGGAGACGCGTTGTATTTTCTGTGGAACGAACTAGTTTTTCAGATGTTACTTAGAATAAATTTGTGAATTTGTGAACTGTCTTTGAGCAACGAGATTCAAACCCATCATCAAATGCGAAAATGTAAAGTCATAAAAATTAATTGGTGATCCATTTCTGTGCACAATATCCACCAACACAGATTTCGACTAAATTACAGTTTTCACTATCATGTCTTCATTATTATTCAACTCATTGCCATTTGTTTGGCTACGACATTATTAAGAAAATAATCGCTGAATCTTCTTTTGAATACAAACTTAAAATATCCAACATCTCAAAAGAAGACATTCCACATTATATGGTACGATGTCGCCTATCTAAAAACGAAGAGATGAAATATATAGAAGTAATTTTACGTTTTGTTTTACTTAAGCGTCACAATTCGTCCATCTGACCAAAGGAAAGAAATTGATTGAGAATATTTGGAGATGAGACATATGACATAACAAAAGCCTGACGATAACAAACAACAAAAAGCTTGATTTTTTGCTCTCGTCACCAAATTATATTACAATGATCAAATTGAGTATAGGATGGGCGTAGCATGTACATATACAAGAAGAATAAGAAATACATATAAAAATTTGGTCGAAAAACCTGAAGAGAAGAGACCCCCCTTCGAACATCTTGATTGGATTGGACGATAATAGTAAAATGTGTTCAAAAAGATTACATGACTGCGTTCCACTGGCTTAGGATACGGACTGGTGGCGGGCTGTTGTGAATGCTGTAATGAATCTTCCGGTTATAATAAAAGTAAGATAGTTTCTTGACTATCTGAAGGATAATCAGCTTCACGAGAAGGATTCCTCTCCATGGAGTCAGTGGTGTAGTAATTTTTGAAGATAAACATTATCATAACTGCGCATGAACGTTTGGTGATTACTATTCTGTGTAGTAATTGTGTTTCGGAGGTGATGAGATAGGATATTAAGATTTGAGATTCACACGGCGGTGGAAATGTCGGTGTTCTCGTGGGTTGTACGATGCGTGGACTTGTAGATAGATACAAGACTTTCTCCGAAACGTTCGTATCTATCTACGTGGAGTCAACCCCCCTCCCCCCCCCAAAAAAAAAACTCGATCGACAGATGGAAAATTAATCAAGAAATATATAGTTTTCAGTTATGTGATGCGCGGTCATTCAACAACGCGACTTTAATAAATTGCAATAATAACATATGGTTAAGTTCAGCTTATAATTTGCGATATAGTACTTAATTGAAAGAATGCTAATAAGAGTCTCGGTAGCACAAATAACCATGACTTAGATTCCCAAAGGAACATACAATGTAAAAAAACAAGGTGATCTTCAGAGTCGTTGTTACGAGTTAATGTTTGAGTCCGCTTTCTTTGGTGTTGGGATCAACACAGTGCCATAAATCAAACTTTTCCCCTCATAAATGTTAATGTCAATGTTAAATGCTGTAATAAAAATTCAAACCAATGGTCCGCGCATCCATCAGCCATCAGCCACTCAGCCAATGTTTCAAAGCCAGTAAGCTTCACGATGCTTCGGTGAATCAAACACGGTATGTACAATTATAAAAGTTTAGTTCTCTTCAAATATTATTCTAAGAACATAAATACGTCGAACTCTTGGTTCTACACAACTTTTAGAACCTGAAGGTTTATTGCCGTCTGTCAGAAAAGCCTAAGCCTTATCGCCTTCATATCCTACTCCTTTAATATGCATGTAAGCATCAGCTTTCCATCGAAACCTAGGTCCTAAATGTTTTCTTCTCTTAATGTTAGAGACCAAGTTTCACGTCCACACAGAACAGAAGGTAAAATTGTATTTAGCATGTTCAAATCTTTAAGTAATAAAAGTGTTTGTTAACGTAACAGGTTATCACGTTGGCGAGTATGATTGTCTTCTGGGATGTAGTCTGAAACTGACCGACGTTACAGAAGATCTTACTGCGGGACGAGTGCGGAACATATAATAGTAATAATAATATAAAAAAATAATTCTGTCCCACTATACGCCATGTAGGCGCTTGGGGGGAGAGAAGGTATAGCTCCTACTCATTCTTGACCTCGGCACTAGATGGGGTTAGTGGTCAGCATCACGCCCAGGCCGCGTTTTAGTCCCGGGAAAGGGCGATACCCGTTGGGTAGGAGGCTGGGTGGGCCCCAGAGCTGGTCTGTACGCAGAGTCTGGAGGAAAATATCCTCTGCCACCGTCGGGGATCGAATCCCGGTCGTCCAGTACATAGCCAGTCACTATACTGACTAAGTTATGCCAGCTCGAAATAATTATTATTATTATTATTATTATTATAACGTCAGGTGTTTGCAGCTGCTGTAAAGTCTAAGGTTCGTCGTATTTTATACCATAAAATAAGTAAACAAACACTATTAACACTATAAAAAGACACTATTGCCATACGCGTTTCAACCACAAGAGGTCGTCATCATAAGAGGTCATAAGAGTATTTTAGGTCGTTTGAACACTGTGATCGCGGATTCGAACACCAATCAGTGTGTGGATTGATGTCTGAATTTTTCTGTGTCTTGAGATACGCATATTCCAGTCTAAGGAGTGCTACAAATTTCTAGCGTTTAGAACTGCAACAACCCGGAAGGTCTAATCAGTCATACTTAAATAATAATAAGTCCGTAAAGTAGAATTGTGGTTGGATAATTGCCTGCTGTAGATGTTAGTTTATTTTACGTCATGGGTAAATAAGGTAACTAATTCAAAGTTTACTAAACCGGTTACCATCTATGTAACGACTACAGCAGAATAATTGTGTTTGTGAACCAAAATTTAATGCCATATCGTGTCCACACAATCGAGTTTACTTTATTGTTCCTATCGATCAACAGCACTTATCGATTGCATTGTGAATATACGGCAAATCAGATAAATAGACCCGCATGCATAATAATCTGATCTGTGAAACATTTCTGCTGTAACGCCAATGTAAGTCTGGACACCCAGAATGCTTACTTGTAATTGTTTGGATAGGTCGAAATATGAAATAATCACAACATTTTTAGTGGAAGAATGATACGGAGATGAAAGAGAGCATTTAAATTGACCTTAGAAACAAAATGTAAAGCGATTAAACGATTTGAACTGACTCAACATCGAGTTAATTTCAACCAAATTTGGGATTAGAGGTGTTGAACGTTATGGTTGTTAGATTACTTAGTTACAGTCAAGCAGAGGTTCTAACAAAGTACACACCACGTACCTTTTTTCAGTTCTGCCCTGTCTCTGTTCATTTTCGCTCGTCATTCGAACCATGGTACCTTCCGTTCTTCAAGTCCATTTTCAGTTCTGTGGAAAAAGAAAAAAAACTTTACGTAAGAATAAAATTAGGCGAGGTTTATTATCTGCACACGACTGCGTGTTATCTGTGTCCATGGGCGGCTCTCAAGCGGACATCAGACCTCAACTCTGCATGCTCCGTGGATTCTGCTGCTATCAGCGACCCTAGTGAGGTTAAGAGGCAAGATTCAAGTTATTTTCCAGGACCTGAGGAAGCTCGCTTATTAAGTGGCCGATACCAGCGACAGCGGCAGAGTTTTCGACGTTTCTACTCATCCGCTGTCAGGTGTCCTTGTGAGCTTATTAGTTTCAGGAAATTTGTGTTAGGTGGTCGGTTAGTTCAAGCGTGAAACAAAGGCCATTTGTCGAAAAAGTGCCAACCGACTTCGTTCTTGTCAGTCACTCTAGTCTGGGTTTCAATATAAGGTGACACAGCTGTTGTTTCAGGTGCCCCAAGGATTGATTCTGAGAAGATAAACTGTTGATTTATTCTGTCTTCTCAGACGAGGGTTCAAGCTTTTTATTGTAAGAGATTCAATGGTAAACCAGTCAAAACATTTAAGCACCTGGTCCAACTTACAGTATCCCAACAGACTGCGAAATTCGGATTGTAAATTGTCTTTAATATCGTGTTTTTCCTTCTCTTTTGTGTCCAAAGACTCCTCGAAATCTTCTTTTCAACCGCCCTCAGACTTAGAAATCAAGGATCATATTTAAATAAATCAAACTGGTTTAATTACAGCTTACACTTAAATATATGTCATATTTCGGCACTGTTTAGGGGGACTACGTTATTTTATAACTTAACCTTCAATTTTCTCAGCTCGTCAAGAAATATCCCGCCTTTTATGATCCCAAAGTTACATTACCATGCTGAAAAGAGCACGTCACTTAAGACTATTCTGAGCTTCGATAAACCGATCCACATCCTCTTAGTTTATCTTCTAAGATTCGTTTTAATAGTAACCTCCCATTCGTGCCTAATAATCTGTTTATAAACCCGGCTGAATTTTAGTTTGTGTGTGTAATAACTGTATGGCAGCTTAAGATGAGCATGTTTCCATTATGTTAGTTACCACCTACCCTGTCTCCCACAACAACAACAAAAACAAAAACAACAACAAAACAGTAACAGCTGTTGTATACCGGGAGAGTCAGTCAACATTCAAAGTTTCCTAATCAAAGCATCTTTGAATAATCTTGTCACTACTAGACGCCAATTGGACCAAATTTCATTCGGATCTCGTGCTTTGATCTGTAGTTCTTGTGTCGTGACAGTTTCTCTGTAAAGTGGAATATAATTATAGTGTAGACTTCTGGGATCAGAATATAATCACGTAAATGTAGCGTTACAGTAAACCTGTTGGCCTGACTAAATCTTCTGTCAACTGAGTTGACTAATATAGAGCAGGGAACTGGGAAGGATATGGAAGGAAACGGTCTTGCTACAACTCAAGAATTTTCTTGGAAGGATTATTTGGATTTTTACGGAGGTATCTTTATTATATTAAACATTCATAAAATTTGTCTCCTATTTAAAATAACAGAAGATTAAAATATACGAAACTAAACTTTCATCTACCGCAGAGTGGTCCGACTGGCAGCCCGTGAAAGTATTTGTTATTTTTTATTAGTTAGTATAACCAATTTATCAAAAATAATTATTGCAGGAGCAAATTTAAAATAAAATACAACTCTGTAGTGGTTTGTACACATTTAAATAAAATTTATATTTCATCATATGCAATGGTAATTTGTAATTTCTGAATAAGTATTATTAAAGATATCGTCAATGCAAAAATAGTGATAGTAAGGGATTCTTGGCCCTTGGGTCCAACAGGAAAACTATTCCGGCCCGAGAGAGGAAAATAGTTGGACCAGGCTGATCTACCGTATTAGTACAAGTCTTTTAATTTGAGGGGAAATTAAAATATCCAAAATAATCATTTATCTGCTGTTCTGTAAGAATATGAAGCATTGTCTGCCACATTATCTCCCTCCTTGGAGCAGTCTTCTTGAGAAGTCACAAGATAGTTAAGAAATCCGCGTCTTTTATAGATACAATTGATTCATTACCGTGAACAGAAAACCCCGTACAGGTCTGTGTCCTGAGCCAGGTAAATCAAATCCACACTCTCCAACCTTGTTTCCCTACTACCTTTGTTAATATTATCCTCCGCATTACAGCGTTCTGGTTTGTTTTGTTAATAAGATTAGCAGGTAACAATGAATTAATAAGTCTTTTGTTGAACGGAATTGTGTTGTTTCATTGCCTGCAGTCTAACAGCGATTATAAACAATGATCACCAACCAACCAATACTTGTCTACTACATACCGGTAGATTATCTGGATGATTTCTTCATGTGAAAGAATGAATGCTGAATTATAGAGGATTATACAAAAAAAAATATTTTAATTCTGGGGTTAGTTGGTAACACTTCTTCAACTTCAGACCAAAAAATATCCGTCAGGTTGGCCAGCCCAAAGTCCTATATTCGATTCTTGTACCTCTCGGATGTGACGCGACCCAAAGGAGTTAATTAATCTGCAGAACCGCTTGGTTTTGTAAAATTATTTCGCAATTTCTTCCAGTAGCCATGGCCAAGGCAGCTTTCGTCAAGAAGAGGATACTTCTCACTAGGAAGTTGGGCTTGGAGATGATGAAGAAACTAGTGAAGTGTTACGTATGGAGCAGAGAC